TGTGCGCTTGAGTTGCTTTCGCTCTTCATCGTGGTGAGAGTGAGGCAGTTGGAATCATTATTCTCGCATTAATCAGTTCGGATGATGTTGCTTAAATCCACTGAAGTTTGCTAACGTTTGGTTGTAAGTTACCAGTTGTCTTTACCAGCGTTTGTGCAGTCGACCTTATATGACGCCTGGTTTCCTCAGGATGAACATTGTTATCGTGCTCAGATAAATGCCTAGCTAACTCCACTCTAAATGCGCACTTGGTGTCCTCATTTACCGCTGCTTACCGTTTCCTGAGTCCAGTAAGGGGCAGACAAACGCGATCACGTACTACCGAAGGATCGGAGTGCAAGCAGTTGCTCCAGAAAGATCTATTCAGTTGAATAGCTGTCACTGGTATCTACTCGAGAAACGCACTTTCTACCCTATATCTCAAAGCTATGCCTTGACCAACGAGTTCACGAGAGCTAGTCATTGGGTCCTCCGGATACTCACTCGTTGGATGAATTTTAAGATTCACCTCACTAGACTGTTGAAGTTAGATCAATAACCACACTTGAGTCCTGTACCCGTGTCTCAGAGACAGCATGCATTCATGACTAGAAATCCTAGAGCTCTAGCGATCGTTGCTTGGTCTGGTTCGACATAGAGTACGGACGTTGAATGTTCCTAAATGAAACCAACGGCGGGGTTTTAGGAGACTAGAAATGAGGTTTCGATCTTTTTGATCGTTGACAATGGTTGTAGAGTGAAAGGTTGGGAAGGGTGTAAGAAGCATAATATTGGTATCAGGAGATGAAGGCAAAGAAGGAGACAGGGCTGAGGAGAATAGTTTGCGTAATTGGGTCTTGTGTACTACGTAAAGCATGTGGGTGATTGACACTTCCAGGCTATTCACCGTAAAAGGTTAGTTCTTGAGAGGCCTGAGAAAGTAGAGATAGTTTTTGACCACAGAGCCTAAGGTACATTCGCTTAAGGTCGGTCACATACGGCCTTCTAGCAAGTTTGAGATTTTGGTTTTCGCTTTTGAATATGATTGTGAATCCCTTTTGCAGGCTTTGGCATGCCACGTGAGGCAAGGAGTAATGTGTTTTCGAGGCTAGCTTCTCCTAACTCCCCTCGCATTGGTAAGGCAGTATCAGCGTGGAACTTCTGGTCATTTGTGGGAAACACCTTACTTCCGTTATACCCTCATCCAGTGAGAAGTATGACTTTGCCTTCCAACCTCCATCACAACATAGCATTTTACACTGTAACAGTAACTACTTTTTGTCTAACCACTATCCAACAGATCTTCCCGGCATGTTTAGACCTCGAGGGAATATGCCTTTCACCAGTATTGCTCGTTGCGTCATTGTGATATTCAAGCCCTACCACCACATCATTGTGACAGCTGTTGGTCGGGACACTGACTGCAGTTTGTATGATACAAAGGATCAATCTTACCAAAAGCTTTCAATTCCTCTATATCACCCACAAACTAGGATCTGATCAGCAGCTGATTCTTGTATCTTAGTCGGTTAAGCATCGAGCCGACAGCCCGGAGGCCGGTGGCTCGAATCCTACTGCGACCAACTTTTTCATCCCACTTCCAATCATCAGCCAATATCAATAATGCGAGTCTGCGAAAACCGTGGTTATTTCAGATAGTCACATTGATAATTAAATGCACGTTGTCTTCACAATCACCGTAAGAAGTGGTAGATGGCGAAATCGAAGGAAATGGAGACAGCATTAGCACTAAGTAATACTTGACTGTTATTTAGGCATATTAGCGTAACTGTCGAGAAAGAAGTAGTAATCGAAATCTGCTTGGCAGCCCGGCGCACATTCGTGCAGTATGCAATGAACCACACCTATTGTTTGAGGGTTTCCCAAAGCTGGATAGATGGAGCGGTGTTCGAACCCGTGACTTGTCTATTGGAAATCAGGTGCGTAGACCCGTGATTCACAGCTCCACTAAAAGTGTCAAGAAGATGATGGTTAGTGTGACCATCACCGAAAGGGATGGGTTCATGATAACCCCTAGGGAAAACACATCTCTAATGTCGGGCTGAAAACTTGAAGTAACAGTTGAGTTGACCTACAGCTAAGTCTCAGTTAGTTGATATGCAGCTTGAACTTGAATGGGACGTAGATTTTGTTCCTCCAACTCTCTCACTGTTTTAAACCTGTAACGATGTAACACAACAAGACCTGACTGTTTATCACCAGAAGGTTTTAAAGACGGAGGTAGGAAATTACTGAGTAGAGCAACGGAGGTACTAGGAAGTGTTTAGTAGTCAGAGGTAGTCTTGTCAAACTGGTCTAGATCTCTGGTCATTCCAGTTTCTAAGAAATAAGTGAAGTGTTCGTGTGACAATCACAGAGGAATTTTTTGTTTAGCATTGCATCTAAGATCCTAGGATCCATTGTTATCCAATGCCTAACTGGAGCTTGAAAAAATCAGGAAGGTCTCAGACGTGAACAACGGTACATTGACTTGATCCTTATCTTCCAATACGTTCTGAAACATAGGCGTACCAGCACGCGACACTTGCTATGTCTTTACCTGAAGCCAACATTCAAATCTGTCGATCGAGAGGTATTGTGGCTGTGTCTATGAAAGGAGTATCGAGCAATCATGTAATGTAGTCAAGGCCTTCTACTATAAATCATGGAGCCATGTTAAGGGCTTATACTGAGTTGTTATACTAAGTAGTGAAGTCCATAGTTCTCCGCCAAGGATACCCACTGTCACCATTCTTGTTAAGCTGCGTTATAGACGTGCTAATTTATGCAACATCAAGTGCGTTAAACTTCCCAGGTAATGAATTGCATCCTGGAGGGCACCTGGTTGATTTGGAATACACAGATGACAAAATCTTGTCAGACGAAGACGCTGACAAAATGTAGGGTCTTCTGAAACCTTTGAGCAGAAATCTAAGTATATTTGGCCTACACTTTGCACCTATTAAATATGAGATGATCCTTCAGGGGTAGTGTGCATCAACTCATAACTTACAGATTGAGAGTGAAGTGGTGGAATGGGTTCATCACTTCACTTCCTTTGGGAATTGCATCAGCCTAAGTGAGTTAGTTACTGACGACTTCCCGGCTCGGATTCAAAAGGTCCTTTTGGCATTTGCCATCTTACGTCAGCTCTGGCGCTGGTCACATATCTAACTGCCTGCTAAAGTGCGAGTATTTTTTCCCGTAGTTCACTCTATCCTACTATAAGGCATCTAGACGGTCTCTAGAAGTAAATCCGAAGAGGCGAAAGGTTTTTGACTACAGGTGTCTTCGTAACACTGTCCGAGTGTGGTAGAATCATCGTGTGAGCAATGTCGAGGCTAGTCGTAGGATAATTGGAAAGTCGGTTGATAAGGTTGTAAACGTTCGGGGATTGGTGACTAAAACATATGTTGCACGCGCCCAGCCACCACCTACCTCAAAGTGTGATGTTAGTCGAGTTAGGATTGGTCAGACCAATATACGGTACCAGCCCATGAAGTCTCCGACTATCTTTGTGAGTCGTGTATAGAGATGCAGGCTGTCTCGTTAGAGTTCTCTAGACGATAGGAATCAATGGTTGAAGAATCGGTGGTATGGTTTGAAATCAGTCATGGTGACGCAAATGTGTACACTTCACCATCTTCAAAGTGTTGAACATTTTGTTAGCTTTCTTTCACTTCTCTTCCATACACTTTTGTCTACCTCGTTTCACTTTTTCTGTACACTGTATGTTGCTTTGAAGTGTAGCAACTTGGAACGATGCGATTCTGTGCCAGGTTCTAAGTTAGTTTTTCTGTTTTATGGATGAGATGTAGACTATCTGGGTGGGTTCCCCGAGATGATAGAAATCAGTGATTGAGAACTCTTGACGAGATGGCTGAAAATTGCTGACAGTGGTGCAGATGTATTCATTCTTTGATGTCTTCTTAGGCTTGAATATTCGCACTAAACTTTATCTTCGAATTGTTTATTCTCTGTCAACTTCACCCACTTTGATGTCACTTCCACTTCTTTTTGTATACTACTGTGAATTGTAGCAATTTAAGCAGATGAAGTTGTGTGGGAGGCCCTACTTCGGTTACTCTCTCCTTTTTTCTTTATGGGACTTGTTGTGGGTCATTCACTTTTATTCCTTTAAGGCTTATTTCTACTGCTGTATTAACTTCGGCTTGTATTCGGATATACTGATAGAAGTTTCTCTTTTGTTCGTGGCGTGTTTGTTAGTTAGCAGCTGTGACAGCGAAATTGTTGTGAAGATTTTCTTCGCGATAACTGTTTTCTTATTCTGAGAACTTATTTTAAGCTTCCAGTTTTTGGCTTTTTGACTTCTGCAAAACCGCCGTAAGTAGTTCTAACTTTTGATAATTTCAAAGTTATAATGTTTAACATTGTTTCTCATGATTTTCCAGTTTTCCTTGGAAATTGAAGGTATTTTTATTCACTATTTTTACCACATTTGTTTTTCGTCAGAGGGTACTATAAGTACTGAGGCGACTTCTGCATTCTAGAAATTTCGCAGTTTTTAAACTAGCGCTCATATCTGTTATAATTAATGCACCAAATGTGGTTATTCGGATAGAGGTTTAGTAGATTGTATTCTGTTTGTTAAATACTGAAAATTATTCGGTGACAGGGTTATAGGAAGCACATTTTTGTTCACATTTCAGCATCAGAGTTGTTCACATATTGCTTTTGTATACGGTCATTTTCTGTATGAATGGTTTGGTGTTAACACTTAACTATTGGTTGATTTACATTAGGATCTAAAATAGTGATTTTCTAAACGCTGTTTTAAGTACTAAGTTTTGGAAAGTGAAGAACATGATTTCTACCTATCTACATTTTGCGAACAGAAAACGTCATATTTTTTCAATGATGAACGTTTTTATAGCCGTTTTATTCAAATTAACCATGTAATAATCTGGTTTGTTCTTGAATCTATTGATAAACTTCCTTTTTGTTTTCTTCTTCCAGCGTTGCTACATAGATATCGAATATGAAGACATGACTCCTTTCCAATGACAGAAAATAAGAATTCTACTGATATCAGTGAAGTCTTACCACCGTCTTTAGCGGCTGTTAGAGACATATTTGCTGAGTTTAACGTCTCAGATGTTTCAGACGAAATATGTACTCGAGTTCTGGATGTTTTGTATAGTATGTTTATCTAACCTTACATTTAACACACAGGACATACGTGTGATGTTATCGAAGAGGCTAAGGCTGTTTCACATCACGCTGGTCGTTCCAAAATTGAAGAGGATGACATACAACTGGCTATCAATTCAGTCACCGATGGACTTATGTTTGCACCTCCCTACAGAGACCAGTTATTAGCGTATGCTGAAAAAAATGAACAACCACTCCCAGCCATTCGTCCTCACTGTGGTATTCGTTTACCAGCAGAGCGCTTCAACCTTACAGCCCCCAATTATTCACTGGTATCTTGTGTAGCTAACGGAAAAACAGTAATGCTTATCAAGATGTTTAGATTTTTTCTACTTTTATACACTTTTTCTTATCGTAATGTTTCATACGACATGAAAGTACTTGCATAGTATTCATTCAGTTATTCACAGGTAGCACTCAACTATAACTCAGTAGGCTACAAGCTCGAATCCCGTACACTTGTTTCACTTCGGAAGCCGCAGACTACCTTGAAGCTTCAAACAATGAATGTAGCATTCAACTTAAAACGCAAAGCTTTACGTCTTTTTTGATTGCATCGAGTGATTTCTGTGTGACGTTGGTGGGCTTTTTTCGGTTGTCGATAACCAAGTCACTTCAAGTCATCTTACATTAAGCATACAAGTGTGCATATCTGGGAATACTTATCAAAGGGACATATTGTTCACATCTATGTAGCCTATACAAATTGTACACATTTACCCACATGAATTAAACTACTGTTTAGAAAACTACCTTTGGCACGAATACAAAAAGCTAGACTGACTTTTGCCAACTTGAGCCACCTGTAGCGCCACCGTGATATCCGATTGCCTATTAAGGATCGCGTGTACTGCACAGCAGTCAGATCTGTTACGTATACCTAGTCGCCGTCTGCCTCGTCACACAATGTTGACCGAAGTAGGTTCAGGCTGGAAAAAGGCTCAAGGCGGCCAGACTAAAACATGGCATCAATGTATGAAGTCCTTGACTGTTGGTTTGAGCCATGTGTGGCGATGCAGACTAGCCGGTTCGGGTCCGCGGGACAAGAGAAACCAGTGGTTAGAGACTAGGCGATGTGGCTCAAAACTGATGTCAGTGGCCCAGATGTATATGCATATTATCCTCATCTTAACGCTATACTGAATCTCACAATTTTTCATCCTTCTTTTACCTCTTTTCGTACTTTATACTTCTTTTGGCTGAATTTTCCTTCCTTCATCTTCCACTTTCCTGCCTTTTTACTTGGTGCATTGGTATGAGCTGTGGCAAATTGGACAGTAATACCTGGGCCCTATGTTGATTTCGATGGATGGATGGACGTCAGGTAAGGATCTCCTGGACCTTTCAAACTCTTCCTTAGTTTCATTTAACATAGTCTTCTAGATGTTAGTTAAATGGAGGCAGTCGCCAGGAATCCATAGACCTAGGTTTTGTGTTTGTTGGCTTTCGTAAGCAAAGTGTATCTGCAACATTGGAGTTGATGTTCCGCCTGAGATTCGAACCCGCGTCACCTAGTGCTGCAATCAGAGACATTACCACCGAGCTAGTCGGGCCGCGACTGACCTTCTGTAGGACTATTAGGCACATTGATTAGTCACTGGAGGGTAACCGACTTCATGTTGCCTAGTCCTAACTACTGATCGAATTCTACCGATCATTTTGCAGTGTGGCCACCAGGCTAATTGACCTAACATCCATCGCGGTCCAGGGTTTCCCTACTGTTGCCTTCATCCAACTAACACCTTACAAAGTGCATTGTGATGTTAAATCAACTAGCCTGCTGGCCACATTGCAAAATGATCGATGGAATTCGATCAACATGTAGGTATAGACAACATGAGGTTGGTAACCCTCCAATGACCAATCAATAGGCTTCTGGGTCAGTTAGTAATCCAACGTCAATGCGGGACCTGAAATCAATACGTAACAATCTAAGTTGTCACATACTATATCATCATCACATCGAGGTAGAGTCCAGCGTGATGAAAGAGAAATGAGGACGAAAGTAGTCGGGAATGGTCGGAAGTCGTGATAGTAGGACAGGTAGGAATGAGAAAATTCAGTATAATGAATAAGATAAAGATAAGATGTGGACACATCTACGCCATTGTGATCGATTCTGAGCTATACACCTGGTCTACAACCCCTGACTTTAGAAGTCTGTATTTCCCTATATGACTCAAACCAGCAGTCAGAGGATCTACTAACTGATGCCGTGTTTTAGTCTGGTCGCCTTCAACCTTCTATGAACCTGAACCTAGGTAGGCAAACATTGCGCGATGAGGTAGGTGCTAACTAGGTACACGTAACACATTACCTAGCGAGCCATCTAAATCGATGGTTTGCAGTCTCATCAAATGACTTATCCTCTCTACCTAAGATTCTGCGCCTGATTTCTGCATTACTGAAGAAGTGGCATCATGACGCATGGCCTACAGTACAAATGTAGCGGTGATTAAACTGGTGGCTATCTTACCCCAGTGGCTTAATCGAAAACGCTCTGGCGTTTAAAGCGAAGGGTACTGGGTTCAAGCCCTAATGGGGATAACATCACTCACTGGGGTAGAGGTACATCCAGCTGACGAGTTCCGTATAAAACGAAACGTGCATCCTGGACTCCTCTGCTAGTCACAAAGATCAATATTAAACCATTTGGTTATTCCATTTCCTAACGAACACGTTTCTTAGGTTTAGCACCTTTATTTTCCAATTGGATTTTTTTCGCATACCGCCGTGATATTTGGCAGTTTTAATTGTTTCTTTTGTGCACAGGATTCTACCTTGGTTTGTTTTTCTGTAACACACCCCTTCAATTAAGCTTACAAGTTACTGATATAGAAAGTGTAGGGTTCCATCTAGCTAAATATTCGTCGAAAGCATATGCTCACCAGTTTTCACCCACATGTTGAAAGTAAGCAGTCAGAGTTGGTTGGTTGATTAGTTTTACCTCTAGGGTTAAAAATGAATTCTTTTTTAACACATTTCAACGAACAACTAAAAAAGTATATCACGCTTCATTTTTGAAGTTATCATGTTTCTGAGTTACATGTTGATCAAGTAATAAATTTCTCTTGATGCGAAAATGTAAGATCGATTTGTTCCAAGAAGTGTGGGAAAAAAGAACCACTGTGTATCCGCTGTATTCTAAGTGAAAACAGATATGAGGATAAGTTCGACAAAGGTAACATCAATTACATTGATCTAAATGGAGAACTGATGACAGTGGAGAAGAAGCGCTTGTTTCTATGACTACACTTTAAGGGGAGACGCTACAAGTGATATGCTAACGCAACGCCTAGCTATAGCAGTCAGTAGGACGTCTTAATGTTGGTCGGCTTTGTATATCACTCAGTAGTCAGGCAGTACTCAGTCTGTGACTGACGAATGGCTTACCTAATCTTAGCTCTTCATCTTACATATATCAGTTTAGCTGTTCCTGTGGAACTAGTTACATAGAGCGTACGATTACGCAGGTGCGTCTCCGAATATGAGAGCATTTACCAGCTTGGTTTAGAAAGAGTGAAGTGAAAGTGGTGAGAAGTTCAGTCCTAGCGCACCTAGTTGACACGGGGCATAACAGATGCTAATAAAGTTTTCAATGTCGTTCACCGTATTCCAAAAACAATTTCACGTGTAATTCGCCAACTCCTGGTCAACAAAGCGGAGGCTGTTGCAATACGATTGATCAAACGTGATCTGTGCATTCAGAAATAACTTATCCAAGCGTTTACTCCTCCCTTGGCCTTCAGTAAAATAAGGGTCACTCCTGCTTTCTTTATTCGTTATCTTTTTGTTCACTATCATATCATTCATATATATATATATATATATATATATATATATATATATATATATATATATATATATATATATATGCCATCCCAATATTGATTTCTTTACAGTCCCTAAATCTCACTTCCTTTTGAAAATGTATCTACCCCTAACATGGCTTGACTTCACGCTGTACAAATGCATTTTATAGCTGTAGAGCCTGATGAGAGAATTAATTGAGAAGAATATTCATTGTCCAGATTGTTGCTTGTTACCATATAAATATGTTTATCATAGAGTAACAGTGGAGAACAACAAATGAAGTCTGATTTACGGAAACTTACTTTTTAACATGGAAGTAAAATTAACTGATTTTGCGTGTGTTTTAATTAAGTATTTATTCTATAGAAAAAAATATGCTGAAAGTCTACTTATTTTTATATTTTGCAGAATCCATCCTCGGAATTTGTCAGTGATTCTTCGATAACTGTTCATATTCCCAATCCAATGAATTCTACAAAAGGTATATTCAGAGCTATGAATCCTCAAAATAGACCGATCAATGTTGGAAATCCTATGGGATCATCTGTGCATGTTATTGCTGCTCCTGGCATAGGTCCTTCTATGATTCGTGTACAGACTGTTCAAAATGTTGCTCAGCTATCGAATGTTGACAACAGTGGTACTGGTTTGAGAACACTATCCGTTGGTCCCACAATCTCTAATGGTAATTTATTTGAAAGTTGTTTGGTGCTGATTAATTCATTTGTCTTCGTTAGTAGCAGGTTATCTTTCTAACAGAATAAAATAGTAATCTAAATCTTCTGATCTTGTAAATTTTACTTGAAGAGTGAAGTTTTTCATTGTTGATTTCAAGACTGATATACTGGTCACTTAGGTTGTTTGATCGGTAATGAGAGTTTTATCTTTTAAGCAAGAGTCAATTATCATAACTCATATACTAAGCGGTTAACTTTCGAATGTTTGTTCTGAAGACACTGACATTGGGATTCAACTAGATCCAGTTGGAAAGTTCTGTAAAGGATGAAATGTTAGTTCTTAATTCCATTGTTAATCACTATCAAAAAAGGCTTTAGTAAACTTCTGTGCATTCGTGCACATTGTATTTTCGCTCCACTTATCCGCACAGAATTTGTTTAACATATAACAACCGAAGCCTGATGAAATTGATCATATATATATATATATATATATATATATATATCCAATATTATGTGCCCAAAACTTCGTTTTCTACAGAAATGATGTAACAGATGCTGTCAGTTTCTCCGAAGAGTCTCCTGTGTCATTTTCAACAGATAATTTCCTATTTCGTCTTAATTAGTCACTTAATTTCAAGTTTACATTTCCAGGATTCATACTCTATAAGGTAATGTAGTTTGATGGAAAAAATATATGTCAATCCTTTGTTGGTGGAGTTGTGAATCAGTGGTTTATGGAGTTGACTTTTAACCCCTGAGTCGCGGGCTGGAGCAACCCTCATTTACTGAGGTTAAGGCAGCCAGGTAACATCATTAGTCCTTGAACAATAGGTATGGTCCATTGCTTAGTGCACGAATGTGCACAAGGTTGCTGAGGGGATTTCAACTAATCATTTTTTTTACCAAGCACACCTCTTAGGTGCTGTCTGAATAAAAGAGCAAGTAACCAAAACGTTTAGATGGTAGTGGGGAGACATACTTTAAGAAGCAGCTTAATTGTCTTTAAACAAGCCTTGGATTTGCAGTCACCAGGCTACACTTTAAATAAGACTTTAACACTGACCTGCTACTTTCGATCGAGGTTGTTAAGTTAATCACTAAGTTAAAGCTTTTAAACCCATTTACTAGTATTTATTTGTATTGAAGTTCTGGTCTGAGTAGACAGTTATGCGCTGTTCCATCGAATTGCTGTGTCACCTGCTATCACAATATACAAAGAAATACGATTTGCATCGTAAAAACCAAAAAGGTCCTAGCCTAGGAAACCTGAAAATAATGTTTCTAAGTAGTCTTCATCACGGATTGGCATTAGTTGAAGAGCCATTGGGAATTAAAAAGCGCTAGGCACCTGTTTCTTGAGTACTACACATCCACAACGTCTTAGAACATTGAATCGAAGACTGTTTGGTCTCGTGGTGAGAACTTAATAATTCAGCCACTGGTTTGAAATTTGGTAGTTCACATTTTCTTGCTTCTGATATTTAGGCATTTAGTATGACCATTCTACCATATTGTCAGTATTTCTTCCCATACCCGAATTGGTCGACCTTAAAGTTTATAACTTCTCATAAGATTGTGAGTAATCCATTTCAAAGCAAGTTAGTGAGTCAATATAATTTAGGAACTTGTATTATTGCTTAGCAGTCTCAGTTGCCACACTTCACATGAGCATATCAACGTACACGGCCTCGAGATGAAGGATAGTGAAATAGAAGGACGATGTAAACATATGTCGTAGAAATTTATAAAAAAGTAGGGAGAGAGAGAGAGCAAACAAAATAATAATGATAGTATTAAAATGTTGATGATTATGCTGTTCATCTCCAGTAGAATTGAATAAGTGCTTTAAAATGTGACGAGCACAACGGGATCAGATACCTGTCAAGTTAGTTGGATGATAAATTAGCTGAACTAGGTCATACGAAAATATATCATAGGATAATATACATTCTGGAAAACATCCTAAACTATTCATTTATCCATCTAAAGACGTCATTCGATTCAGTTGGTTGAGAAGTTGTCTACCAGTATCAGATACTGGTGGATATGTAGTTTTCCTGACTGATATTCTACTGTTTATGTCCTTCAATGCTACAAATTTAGATATTGGGTTATTTTAGCTTTAAGAATTAAATTTTCGTTTATTATTTTTCTTTACAGTGTTGTCCTTAAACCGACGTTTTATGGACACGTCATAGTTGTCTAAAGTGATCATGTCCAGGATGCTCCTTTCTTAACATCCGATTTCTAATCTTGTGTCTGTATCAATTGTGAATAGATTTCTGTAAAAAAAAAAAGCGATACTTTATCTTGTCGTTCTGTAAATAGTGTTTAATTGTACATACAGTCATTTTTCTTTCTTTTTTTCTTCTCACTGACTTTTGTCCGAATAAATTGGTTAAGTAAGATCATATGTAGTGAGGGAAACTCTGCGTCCCTTTGTTATACGCTTTATATTTTCCAAAACTGTTAGTTATTTGGTATTTTATCACTTACGGTGAAAGTCTTTTTGAATATATAGATGGCTAGAATACAGCACATACTACTGTTAGAACAAGACTGTTAAATACTTTCTGAAAGATCTTAAAAGACGTATTCAACTGAATGGTTCCTTGAAATCTTATCCACTGAAATGGCTAATGGAAGACTAATTATATAGCCTAGTGCTTAACGAATTTCAGCAGTTTACTTGTTCTTATGATACTTGTTAAACAGAACATGTGATGAGTGTCTCCAAAGGCCAGTCTCTACCAATTACTGAAATAATCGATTAGGTTTCGTTATTTTAGAAGAAAATCTACTTTTACAGCCAAAATAGTGGAAACTAATTGATTATTTCAGTGGTTGTAAATTGTTCTTCAGAGTAAGTTGTCTTATCTGAGATTTGAACCCGCACCACACAATGTTGCAGTCGACGATGTCACCACTGAGCTGTTCTTCAGAATCACTGCAAACGGATATTTGTACAGCCTTCTAATGTAGTACACCATATTCTAGAGGTGTAACCGCATTAAATTTGCCCGAATTCCTAATTGGTTTATATTGTGCTAGTGAAGTACGTGTGTGAAACTGGGCATTCAAAATAACTGCATGTCCTCATGTTACTTCTATCTAGGTCTTCAACAGACAAGACTATACTCTTCACTTTGGTTCCCAGTTTCTGTTCAGGATAAATAGTTATTGTTTGCTTCCGTATTTTATAAATCTGTCAGTTATGTCGAAATATTCATCTATGATGACCGACAGTTATTGTACTTATTAAGATTTTCTGGTCTGTGCATTACACTTGGTATGATCCCATTTCCATTTTTCAACTCCCTCACCTAATTTGTAATGTGAATAAAAATAAAACATGTCATTTCTGCTCTTGGTTAGGCAATTCATATCTGTCTTTGTGCTACATGATTCACTCAATTAAAATATTCTTCCATTGGGTGATAGTTGGAGGTGAAGTGAAAACTTGAACCATGATAGGATTTGAACCAGTACCCTGCGGATTAACGGCCTAGTAGTCTACCGCCTTTTTGATAAGATTAAATGATTTGAAATTTAAGTAACTGTCAGATATATTTGCCTTCGTTCTTGTCTTCGGTCTTTTGACCCCAATACACGTTTCTACTTGTCCATCGTGCCTTCTTCACTAATTAGTCGGGTCAGGAATCAACTAGGAATTCGTTGAGTGTTGGTGGCTGACAGTCGATATACGTGCATTGTTAGTGGCCTTAGCACATAGCAGTTCCTGAAACATAACAGTAACACTTCAGGTGTGAAGGTTTCCTATGAACATTAGTGTCTGAACTATCTTGAAGCTAATTTAGTGCTTGGTGGGAGGGATTGATAACCGAACCTGAGTTTATTGAATGATTCAGCACCTGTTCCAAATATGTAGTAAATTCCACTACCTATATCTCAAAGAAGAGAAAATTAGAACTAAAGAAACCATATATCAGTTATCGAGGTATCTCGAAATGTTTATGGACAATAAATTGTAACCGGAATGTAACCCAGTAAATAATGGCAATGGCGCACACAAGACAAAGTCAACGCAGAACCTTCCACTCAAGTGCATCAGCTCAAGTTGCCACACTTCACAGTGCTGCCAAAAGAACAGGTGGATAGAAAGAGTGATATCAGAGAATGTAAAGTATTATGAGAGAATAAACCATCTGAGGATAAAGGTTAGTGCTATTATTCAAGCTTTAGATGTCAAGGAGTGAACATATCTGCGCCACTGTGATCAGTTTTCAGCCATATCACCAAGATTCTTCAACCAATAATTTCTTTCTTAAAGACACCGACCAGACAGTCCACATCTCCCCATACGGTTCAAATCAGCAGTAAGAGATATCAGTGACTGATACCAGGTCTTGGTCTGACTGCCATTAACCCTCTTCCTACGTAATCCAGCTTCCTCATCATAGCACGTCCAGGTAGGTGCTGGCTTGGCGTGCGCAGTACATGTCGAAGCCATCTCAGCTGATGAAATTTCATAACCTCATCAATCATCTTGCCTAGTACCCTTCGCCTGACTTCAACAGTGCTCACCAAACGCGATCAATGATGCGAAGACACCTATGATCAAACGTCTAAAATCGCTTCATGTCTTCAACTTTTAACGGCCATATCTTATAACCGTTTAGTCGAACAGAATGATCTGCAGCACAGTATAGTCGTCTTTTGAGGGATAGTTGAATGACGCAAGTTGGCAGGGAGTGAACGAGCCTTCTCTATCCTAGCTGAGATTTCGTTAGGAACCACCTAGTTCGAGCTGATGCAAGTCTACAAGTAAGTGGAGTGGACACCATATTCCACGACTTCACTCCGTATCATCAAGCTGAGAGAACTTGGATGAGACCAGTGCTGGAGCATCATCTTAGATTTGACAGGTGCCAGCGAAGTGCATGCTAAACATATTGAGATTTCTGTTTAACGCCATCAGAAGACGTTGCATTTTGTCGGCGTTTTTATCTGGGAGGACAAGATCGTCTGTATGCAAGCAGTCAAC